GTTGAGAAGGTATAATCTTAGTAATAGGTTCAATTTGTTGAGATTGAGTTTCATTATTGACAGGATCATCATTCTCACGAAAAACTGGACAGGGAACATTAGTCGAAACATCCATCTCATTTTGTGTTTCTTGCTTAAGTCTTATCTTATCATAGAATTGTTGTTGCATCTTTTCATGTTCATTTGTTGTTGTTTGTTTCGCAACACGATCCCCGTTAAATTTATTTTTATTTTTTAATTCTTGTTTAGAATTATCAGACATCGCCAATCGTACGTGAATTCTTTCAACTTCTCGTGCGATTTCTTCATATTTTCTTTTAACTCTCCTTTCTTCTTTTTTCCAAGCTTTCGATGCCATTTTTGAAACTTCTCGCATTGAAAGTCTATATCCTTGTGAGTGAAGTTGTTTTGCAAATTCGTTACGATAAATTAAAAATTTATTAGTAGAACGAGCAAGTAATTCTCCGTGTTTATTACGCCTTATAAGGTCTGATGGATCAACTCTTGGAGGAAATGGAACGATAACTAAAAGATTTGAGAGGTCACAAGGTCTTTTAGGTTTAGGTGATGCTATTGTAGAGGACTCGTCGATGAATAGCCATTCCTGTTGAGACACTTGATGAGATGAACGACCACTTTGAGCGAGATTAAATGAACCCGCAATGAGCTGACTTTGTTGTGACATTATGATAAGTAATTGAAGATCGCAAAAAAAAAAAAAAAAGGACTGATTGTATGTATACTTCTTGATCGATGTCAATCGAAAGTAAATAAGATTAGATGATTGACGTGCTAGATAAATGTGTATTCTTTTTTTTTTTTTTTTCTGAACTAGTGAAGGAAGAAGATTGAAAGTGTCGCCTATTTATTAATTCTTGCAAATATGTATAACAGATTTCTCACGCGTCAACCCCAGAAAATTGAAACTAAAATTTTAGACTAAAAAAATTTTTATATGACATTATTTTATCATTCGTCAAGTGAGTTAAGTTAGTTAACGTGTTATTGGCTTTCAAATTTTATTGGAACATTTTAATCAACTTTAGAATGCAACGAAAATAGAAAGAGTAATTATGATCAAACAAAAGTGCGAATTCGGAAGATATTAAAACCGTATATCACATGGAGAATTGAAGATCTGTTATTACTGTATATAGTTAAAAACTTTCTTCAAATCTTTGTTGTTCAAATGTTTCAGAATAGATGTTGACATCATCAATATAAGTTTTAAAATATTATTTATATATACACGTGAGGTGTAACACATGTGATCTTTGAATTTTTTCACGCTGGATACTATACTATATGCAGTGGTAAACGATGACCTTCTTGACTATTTGGGATCTTTATTCTTTTTTCATGTAATAAACTAATACAGTATACTTATGTGTGCAACTGATAAATTATGCGTGGTCCGTGCGCCTAAATATCCCAGGGAAACCGGAAGTCTCAGCCCTCAATTAAACATCTGATAGTCCTCATGACTACCTTATTATTAATCACGAAACTCAAAGATCATTAGATTTACGTTTATCATAAGTTTCGATATTTGTGTTAAAATAAAATTTTGCTTTACGTATAGTCAAAAAATGACTTGCGAGATAAGATGAGCATAATTTGCTTTATTTGTTTATTTAAAAGAATTTTTTTTTTTTTGATTATCATAAAAATAAAATACTATTACCTTATCTATCTTATGGACATATTTTTATTGGTTATTTTATTAATTTTTTTTTTATTAATTTTTTTTAATTTGTAAATTATAGCATTCATTTTGATAATTATCATTATGCGTGCCTAATTACAAATCCATAAAATACATTTACGCACTAACTTTAAAATCGTTTAAATAAAATGCGAGAAAAATGTTTTGGAAAACATGCGGTAGAAGTTTCTAGTCTCCATGCGGTTGAAAGCCCGTTTTCATTGTCTCGATCATACCAAAGAAGGATATAATATGCATATATGATCACCAAGTATAGCAGATCCGAAAAATTTAATACTTTAGAAAATCTTTGTTACGTTTGACGTTATTGATTTGTCATCGTGAAAAAAAAGTGTAAACCATTGAACTGAAACAATTGGTTTGTTGTGCATAAAATTTGACAGAATGGGTTATTATTTTACGTATAATGAGCAAACCTTGCACTTTTCGAAACAACTTCGGAATGATTTTCGTAAACATTATTTGTACGACAATTTAGTGTTTTAAAACGAATTCTTCATTAATCATTGTCAATCACTCCAATCCATTATTCTTGGGTTAGTTTTAGGATAAAAGATTTTACTCATAAATTATATTTAATGCCGGTTGGTCTAGCGATCTTTTTAACTAAGGTTTGTTATACTTTTATAGTATCTTAACAAAAAATTATATAAACAATAAAAAAAATAATAATACGTAATAATAATAATAATGTATATACATATATATTTATTTATTAATAAAAAAATGCTTACATATCTATTAACACGTATTTTTGATACGTGATCACGGATAGAATAAATTTATCTTTATTTTATATTTTTTTTCAATTATCAAATTTCCGCATAAAGAAATTTTACATATGTGAGAAATCTATTAATAATAATTATAATAAATATGTAAGTTTAGCTTTCCCGAAAAAAAATAATACGTAAAAGCTAATAATTTTATGTTACACGATATATACGAAAAAACATAACTTTCATTTTGCTATTATCTTATAGGTATGATCAAAAAAATTACTATGCAAAATTTAACTAGATTACCAAATAAGTATCCGTTAAGCTTAAATCTACGTATCTTGGTTTTATTAATAATTAATAATTATTGGTACTTTTGTCAACTACGTTAATAAACTTAAAAATTAATTGATATTAAAGTGATTTACTTATTTATTTATTCGTTCTTATATACATACAATGATTTGAAATTAATTTTCCTTTACCAATTTTGGATCTTTTAAACCTTTGCAAAATATTAAACTCAAAATTTCAAATAACTTATTGGTTTTGCTACTAAGCATTTTGTGGGTAACCACTCGGCTGTTTGTATGCACAAAAAAATTTTTGTTTGTCATGCTTACAGAGAAATTCCATGGTCCAATACCTTGTCTACCTCGTGTATTCCATATTAGAATATCAGTAATTAAGGTTAAGTTCTTGCCAATTTTATATTCTATTAATCTATTACATAGCGTAAAATTTTCGAAAATTTTTACATCACTGTTTATTATATCTTTAACAATTATTTATCAATAAAATCAATTATTTATTAATAAAACCAATTATTTATTAATAAAATCTATTACTTATTAATAAAATCTATTACTTATTAATAAAATCTATATATTATTTATTAATAAAATCTATTATTTATTAATAAAATCTATTATTTATTTAATAAAATCTATTATTTATTTAATAAAATCAATGATTTGCAAATTATAATTTCATTTGCTCATTTACGTATCGGTATACAATTGTTTATCAAGAAATATCAGATATCAACGTTGTATATCGATATAATTTAGCAAGTAAGCAATTGGGATATACAAAAAAAAAAAAAAAAAGTAGCCTCTTATGCAATGATCTAAGGATCTAAGGAATCATCGATTAGCCAATTGTCTAAAAAAAAAAAAAAAAATCGACTGGCTAAGTTGAAAATTAGCTTTAAACCTTTTTTCATTATTAGCCAAGATCATTATTCGCCCGTAGCAAGCTCGAAAACCCCTATTTCGATTCCACACCTTTTTCTACGAAGTTTCTCATTACGAGCTTTATCTTTTAATTGAGTTTGGCTACGATGACGTAAAATACCATACGCGTTTCCGTATTTTTCATATATTTTCGACCAACTAGTCCCATACTCTTCCATCCCTGCTTCTAATGCATTTAATTCGCGTTCGGTCCATTTTCTTCGATCCTTTTTCCTTCTAACTCTGAGTGAACTGGTAATCACCGCTTGAGTTGTTGTTGAAAACTTTGTCGGTATTTGTGGATTTCGTTTCACAATTTCATTTTTTGATATGGTTTCTACATTACTAATACTTGTTGCTTTGATTGTTGATTCGCTATCGGTCGCGATTTCTGTATTGTTTGTGTTATCTGTATTGTTTGTGTTATCACAAGAATCTTTTAAAATAGATTGTGATTTTAGAAGTAATGACGCGTTAACTTCTTCAAGTTGTTTTTCGTTCATAATCATAAATTTGAATAGGCTACCATAATAACGTGACCACGTTCCCATATTGGAATAATCTAAAGGGATTTCCCAAAGAAAAGAAAAAAAAAAAAAACGTAAACAAAAGAATATATAAGAAACAATTCAGTCACATGAACCTGCATGAGGAAATCAACCAATCAGAGAATGTAAATTCTGATCATCCGGATCGGTCCGGCTAACTAAAAAATAAACAAACTTTCGTTCTGAGTTATAATTTGACCTACTACAGTACTATCATTTGGGTTTTTTCACAACAAAACCATATTTAGAGTATATAAAATATTTATGGTGTGCATGAAATTTGAATAAGCGTGAATTTGAAATTCAGACCGAAATTTGGGAACGAAACCAAGAAATCAACTAGTTGCAAAAAAATTGTAAAACGAAATCAAATAGTTCAGTTCAAATAGTTGTAAAGAAATCATGAAACGAGATCAAGGAATCCAGACAACGTTGTCAAATAGTTCAGATAGTTACGAAGAAATCTATACAATGTCGACAAATAGTTGTAAAGAAATTTATCTATTATGCGTCATATTAAAATCGATCGATTTTATGTTGTGAAGAATCAATCTAAATAAAGTGTTGAATATATTTTATATAATGATAAATTATATTATAATGAAGTTACTAAAATAGCTACCGAAGGTTTACGTGTAATGAATGAATACTCCATAATATTTAATTTGATATAAAATACGTAAATGGTATGTAAAGAAATTTTAAGTGAATCAATTTTATTAATGACATCTATTATGCGTATTCCAGTATGACGCATAAATGACAAAACCAATCTGACGCACCTCAGAGTCAAATTTTAACTTTACGCGACTCAATTTTAAACCTACGTCTATTCTGAGGTACGACATACTGTATATACACTCTAACCATGGTTTTGCTGTCCACGCACTTTGTATAACATGTGTATTAGCAGATTTAAAATCAATATATCGATATCAAAAATGTAGATGTGTGTGTTATTTCATGATTGGGATCCACCAGGCCAATTTTGATGATTTAACCACTATTAGAATCATAAAAAAAAACAAGCTCTACAACTTATATGATACTATATATATACTTTAAATATTAAAATTAAATATTAAAAATATTGCTTCGGTGACTATGTAGCATTTGAATAATGCTCATCTAAATTCAAGTTAATTTCCGAATGCCTCATAATTAATTGCAGATTAATTAATTGTAAGATATTTCTAAAATTTCAATATTATTTGTATTATAATAGTGGCTGCAACATTTGCATTTTTTTTTATTCAAATAAAAGTAACTGCAATTTTTTTTTTCATGTTTGTTATTATTACTGTTCTTAAATATTAACTATTTGAAACAAGCCTTTCATGAAAACCTCTACCATTTGTAATTTTAGTGTGCTTTGTAACAAAAAAAAAACCATCATATTAAGAAAATGATTTAATTTTACTCAGCAACAGAAATAAACGAGAAAGCATATATAACAG